ACGCATTTTTAGACAGGGGCAGCTTGATGCAGGTAAGTATGCTGAGCCTCCTTTCAGATGAAAAACACAAGCACTCAGAGACACCCATATCCCACCTCTAACAGATGCGAAATTGTCAACCACGATGGCACACTGACAACGCAGATGCTCAGTGACAGTCACACACGCACATAAAAATCACATGCGTGTCCCTCGTCACATTTTGCTGACAGCACATAGTCATGGAAACAGCCCGAGTGGGCCCGAGCAGCTCTGCACCATACGGATTATGGTTATGGAGGCTCATTAAAAACATGTAGTGGGAGATGGATTAGTTATAGCCTGCTGTTGTGGTGGGCGAGCAGCGTCCAAGATCAGTGGATTTCCATGCATTTTGTCAGAACTGGTGTGGTGCTGAATAGATTTATCTGGGGTGGGGAGCTCTTTGTGTGGAAAATGTTGCTTTCTATCATGTCCTGGTGTGTGTTTTAAGACCTCCGAAAGTTTTAATGGAACTACTTTTAAAGGCGAAAGATCCATCAAGAAGGCAACATTTAGAATTAAATGAAAATAAGTGAGAGAATGAGTAGAGAAAGTGATAAAGAGCCAAGAGTTACAGAATGTGGGGGTGGGGAAGAAAAAGTGAAAACAAAGGCGAGGAAGAAGAAAAATACGGCTGGGGTCAGTGAACCTCGGGGTGTGGGATAACAGAGAGCAGCCCCACTGGTACTCAGCTGGGCCCGGTGGGAGCGACATGAAATAACAGCACGCCGGGCTCTGATTCACGGCCCATCAGCAGCCACATCCAACACGTCTCTGCCTAAGGATGCGCTGCTGCCACACACCCAGGAACACGCACTGACACAGAAACACAAAACAGCATGTCCAGAAACAGGAATACACAAGAAGAAGCATGTGCGGGGAGCTAATGGACTGTTATTAAAGACATGCATCACACCGTGTCAGCTCCTGACCACACACAGCCTCACTGACCTCTGCCCATTGCTGCCGCACACAAATGAAACAATGATCTCCCAGCTCTACCGCTGATGTATCAGTTAGCAAAAACACCACAGTGACACAAACGCACTCCAACATCAAACATCAGACAAAAAAAAAAAAAAAGCGTCATCCTGCCCACACACTTTTTTTATCACAACATCCATGACATTTCACATGAATGGATCATCGTCTTTGGAAATAACCTCTGAGTGGCTCCTGTCACACTAGAAAAGGTCCTCGGCACAGGCTGATTGACAGATGTCATCACCCTGTTCAGAGGAACAATGCACAAGCAGGAGAGAGAAGAGTTGACCTTAAGCCTCAACTGTGGATCCACACCAAAGACTACAAAGTTTCTCTCGGGGGAAAAACTTCCCTTTTCCTCTTTTCTGATCTGATTCTTACACTTCTGGAGACCTAATCTGATGGTATTTAGAGGCTTGTTGGCAGCTTTAGCTTTGTTAACTTTGGTTAAATGTTTTATACTTAGGGGAAAAGCGCCGGGGATTCAACCAGAAAAAGTAAGAATCCAGGCTCATCACTTCCAGCCAGTTGAACAGTAAATAATCCAATAAATATTCCAGACGAGGAACTTTAGATAGCTCATACAATTTACTCCCTTGTTGTCATATGAAATTTGCTGCTGCAATCAATTGTGGTGCCAAATTTGTTTACTACTTTTGCAAAAGATGGTCCTATATTTAAAGAGATCATAAAAGGAAAAGATTATGAGACAATTTGAAGTTAAGAACAAAGCAAAATTTGCACAGCTCTTATCATGGATAAATCTTAGATACTCCTGGATAATTCTACGATTTTAGGATTCTTCTTAAGCTCTAACAAACAAACAAACCAGAGTCACACAGCAGGGAACAGAGGGTGGGGAGTTGATTGTGGAGTGGAGTCATGTTTTTTCCCCCACATCAGTCCCCCACAGTGCATAATTCCCGTCTCTGCGAAAAGTTTAACACTGGAAGACAGTTTTAACATTCATCTCCAGCTGGAGGACTGTTTGGCTGCCCTGTTCTTTAACATTTCTGTCATGTGCCTGGCTGCACTTGTCACCCATACAGTAAACACTCTTTGGACCACCAACACTGTGATTTAGCACAAACAGAAACACACCCTTGCAAGTTGCATGAGAAGCGGCCAATTTATTATTTTGGGGGGTCTTTTAAATGAGACTGATGGCTCTTTCTCATTTGTACGGGGGAGTCAAGTGTCAAGTGACATGACTTTGCTAAACATATTTGCTCACAGACACAGTCACCAGCAATACAAGTGTCAAAACATGAATGGGAACCTTTTAGACAGCTCCCGCAACACTACCAATCGTGACTGTTTTACCAATAAATCACCTCGTTGGGTCGAGCTTCACAATATTTAAAGAATGTGAACCACTGTTGTAGATCTGTAGCAATCAGCAGCTGGGGGGCTATTCCAGCTGTTTGTGGATTTGAGAGTATAGGGCACCAGCTCATGACAGGGACAAATGAGGCTAACTCTCACTGCTTAACCAAACATGCATGTTTTTAGGTGGTGAGAGGAAAGCAGATTTCCCAGAGAGCTCCTACACATGCACGGGGAGAAGCTGTAACTCTATGAAAGCTTTCGACCACACTTGGGATAAACACAGATTTTCCAAAATGTGCTCTGGCTAATTACCGCCAGAGCATATTTTAACTTCCAACATGTTTGACTGAAGGTCGGCTTTTCCTGATGAGCTTCACTTGTTGCTTCTTAAACTGATGCACAGCGACCCATATTGGCCTTTCCTTTGGTTTGATCTGTTCATATGACAAAGCACAGCTCAATAAGAAGGAAAAACGTAGCATGGGTTCATATTGACGCTTGTCCACTATTAAACTGGGATATACGTCAGTGAGTGCTGATATTTTGTATGTATTGATCTTTTCACTGTTCCAAAGACACTTTCTCTAAGAAAGTTTGGTTTAAATAGAAGCACATTTCTTGGCCTTTTACCCGTGCATCCAGACATGGTTCAGGGTGCAGAGAATTGTATGGATTGAAAGTAGCTCCAGATTGCTTCAGATCACTATAAAACTCTTTTTCAAGTTTAAAGGTTATACAGCAACTTTTGTAAACTTTCCCAATTGAATTTCTTCTTCCAACCACACAGTGGAAACCATTTCTCTGGTTGATGACCGTAAAACTTTTTGGTAACATCATAAACTGCCAAAAGGGGGAAAAGATTGTCAACAATTGCCGTGTAACCTTTGGAGTTGTGATGCAATTTGAACTGTTACGTAATTCCACCATTGTGTGGAAGAAGACGCTGGAAACAGTCCGACAGTTTTTATGCAGGAAAACCATAATTCATAAGTCATGTGAAAGCCATGCGAGGCAGTCCTAATCTTATTCTATTCGAAGAACTGATTCTACTTCATCATGGTTGCAAAATGTGATTATAAAAATAGTTTGATTTGCATCGATTTGTGGAGATCCTTATTTGTGAAGATGCTGACAGTCCGAGGCACTAATGATTCTGTGTGCAGGGGGGGGTAACTGCACAGCACAGAAGTGGCTATAACTCAGCCTCACTTCCCCACAGTTCTGAAGCTGTGCAACAAATACCTGCCAGAGTTATTATTTCATATGTGC